GGGACAAGTCCAAGCTGAGCCGTACTGAACAAGTTTGGACATGCGGTGCATGCGTGTGTGATCCCGGATGCATCGACAGCTCGTTATTCCAAATCGATGTTACATGCTCGGGAAGGGCAGTGCCGAACATGCCAGGCACCACAGCTGCCATCACGTTGAATGTGCTGGCGGGTGTTGCTGAAGACTACTGTTCTTTGCTTTTTACTGCGGCTCGCCGCCCACGCATCGCTCCCTTTTCAGTCCGCCAGCGGGCAGCACGGATACGTTTCGAAGGAGCACTACCTGGGCTGTTTGTGGAACTTTCGTGCACAAATCACGCTGTGTCCGGGCAGTGTCGATGGCTCCTGGCAAAGGGGTAATCGCTACAGCAATGTTACAAGCAAGAAGGCATTGAACTCGCCGGAAGATCAGTTGTTGACAGGCATGCAGTGCTTTCAAGCCTTGGTTTTGGCGCACGAGCTGCAGGAGAAGTTTCTCAGTTTCTACACTGGCGTACCAAGGCAAAGCCATGCGCCGCCAATTGAAGAAGTTATGTGGATCACATCCTTAACCGAGATGGAGCAGGAGGAAATGCTGCAAGTTTGCCCTGGCATGTTGGTCACATCGCTTTTCCTTCATGCTGAACTCCGGTTCAGTCTGAACTCTCACGACCTTCTCGGGCAACACTACAGAGGCCGTGCCCTCCGTGTCTTGCGACAGATGAAAGCCGGGAATGATACGTACGAGCTGGACCACTACCGAGTTACGATGCGGACCTGGCCTGTGTCGGCAGCAAATGCTCATTCACTTCAGGTGCGACGCATGAGTGGGCGTGAAACTTCAGCTGAGACAAAGCGTGTGGACTTAGTCATTGTTGCGTGCAGGAGCGACCTAACATGGGTGGATGCCCTTCCTTTAATGCCCAGTCTGCGTATCTTGATGATCGCGAAATGTAAAGAAGCAGCTGAAAGCCCTTTATGCCAAAGATCGGATTGCATACCGGCTTGGCATATAGATGTGCAGGACCCTGCCGAAGGTGCAGTGCACAGCGACGAGTGCGGCGGATATGTGTACCATATACTTCGTCATTATCATGAACTTGCGGAGTGGACCATCTTTTTGCAAGATGATGCACCTCGCCACTTGCATCTAGGATACCTCAACCTAGTCCTGAAAATGATCTCGTCCGGCACCTTGTCAGCATTAGCCCCCCGGCTCTTCCTGCACCTGAACAACGATCGACATTTAATGTACTGGACCCCATGCTTGGCACAGATCACAGATTTGCTGGGGCTGCCCTCCAGCCAGCTCTTTGCATCCTACTGCTGTTCGCAGTTCCTTGTGCACAAAAGTAGGATTTTGGCGCGGAGTTTGGAATTCTACCAGGCAGCACAAGAGCTCCTAACCAAAAGGCTCAGCGCACTGGAGGGCTGCTTACGCATTCCTCAGCTTGGGCCCCTGAAGCCGCCAAAGCCCACTGGACACAGATCAGCCTTTCAAATACGCCCGTGCCATCTCTACGAACCATGGCTGCAAGCAGCAGTGCTGGCTTGATTTTCTTTTGTGTACTTCGCGGCTCAGAGTTTCAAGTGTCATCGCAACCTTGTGACATTGTGTCAGCAGCCAAGGAATTTCTGTGGCATGTTGTTTTTGGTTGCGATCCGGTCCTGCCGAGACGGGAAGATGACGAAAGCTTGCCGTCAAATCTTCGGTTTACCTTGGACGACGACACTCTGCTTCCTCTGCCAGACTTCTCCATGATGCTGTACGCACATGCACCGCGATAGCAACGTGTTTTTCTGCAGCATGAACATGCTTTGGAAACGACGCGTGCTAGCCGCACCAGTCCAGCAACAGCCACCGTCACAGTCAATCCGTTGCGGTTGCGACAACCTGTGTTTGCAGGAGCTAGTTCTCACCATTGCCGAGCGAATGATGAGCTGGTTGGGCGCCGAGACGTGTGACGGAGGCGTGTCGTTTTGCCATATCAATGTGTCTTGCCGGCAAGGTTGGAAAGTACTCAGAACCGGCAGAGTCTCTTCAAATACCTCAGCCTCAGCGCCAAGGCGACCTTCTTAGACGTAGAAATTTCCATTGAAACTGCAAGGGAGCTTTCCTGCAGGTGAAGGTGTGGTACAAAGAAAAGGCCCAGGCGGACCAAGCATGAAGAAGGAAGCTGAATTTTTCTTCGGAGCGGCCCGGAGGCTTACTTTGAAGCGAAGCGGAGCTGCCTCGTCTCTCTGTGGCAACCTCGGCCGTCAAAGCCGCGTAGCCCGCGTAGATCCGAACCCTCGTCAGGCTGGAGCTGGACAATTCTGAGGCCCTGGGAGGGGAAAGTCCATGAAAGTCCTAAGTCCTAAGCCGAAGCTTCGGGGGCTTCGGATCCTAATTCTTTGCAGGCTATTGCCAAGTTCCTCGATGAGGAAACGGTCCTCCGCCCAGACTCACACGAAGCGGTCCTCTCAACTTGTGGCAATGCGAGCCATCTTCGCTGTACAGGCAGCAGTTGAAGCTGCCGTGTTTGAGATGCCTGAGAAGGCGTGATGAGTTTCTTCGGGGTTCGCACAGGTATCTTAATGTCTCAATGATCGTGAGTGCAGGTGCAATAGTCGGAGTCTTGATGTCCTTTCGAGCGGATTTGCCTCTTCTCAGGGAATGCACTGCCCGAAGCTCTTCGGCGTGGAGGGGGTTAGAGGTGCTCAGAGTTCGGTGTGTTGAGCCTCGCACGGAGCTGGGCTGCAGAGCATGTGTCCAGCATCTTGCCAGGCTCTGTCGACGTGGATTGACTGCATCATCTTCCCGCAGCGATGTTGGGGTCGGAACGTGTCTAGATCTGGACACTCCCAGACCTACGACTTGATTTCAAGCACTATGGCAGTTTGCCCTAGCTGCAGGACAAAATGCTTCCAATTGATCTGTTGCCACACGCAGGATGTGATGTTTTGCGATTCCGGCGGTCAGATTCCGCTGAAGGGCATAATAAAGACGCTGAAAGCACATCAGGGTATGCATCAGCTTCGGCTCAGCAACGGTTTCAACTCGCGGTATGACTCAGTATGATCAATATCGAGGTGCCTCAGTCTTTTTAGTTGCGAAGTTCGTGCCGCCCTTGCCAGAACATAACAGAACCAGCTTTGGCATGCTTGGTTCCGACTGCAGCTTCAGCACCTCGCTGCCGCTTCCAGCCCTGAATCCTCGTGCAGCCATGCTGCGATCCAGGCAGCCACGCATTGCCCCAGTGGCCCTGGCCGGCATCATGTTTTGCGGGAGGGCTTTCGTCGGCATGTTGCCGGCAACTCGATCCAGCCTACTGCAGCGTTCTGCCGGCCCTTCGACCGAGGGAGTTCCGTGGCATTCGATCGAGAACTGTAGAGTGGTTGATAAACTTCGGCTGTTTTTCCACATGGCTCTCTGTGGCACTAGCCCAAGGCAAAAGCGGCCTTCAACGAGCTTTTCTACAATGACGATCGACCGATAGTCCTGTATGACGGTGCCTGCTCTCAGATGTCAATGTCTCTCTAGCTCACTTGCTCTGACGACCCGGTGCTGAGGCGTTTGCAACATGTGCAACAGCGCCGTGGATGTGGCTTTGCAGAAGGACGTGATGTAGCTAATTCGACAAGAGTATATGCTTTGCAAATGTGTCTCTGATGTCGCCTCTAGTTTCCTGCAACGAAGTTTTTCGCTATGCACATTCAGGACCCTGACGGTCGCCGGCTGCGATTCTCTGCGTTGCAGTCAGAGGTCGGAAAGCAGCTGCTGGTCTTCTGTGGCCGGCGTGCCGAGGAAAATTGGCTTAAGATGTGTCGTCAAGATTCACCTGACCCTCTATGTTGTACAATCATTGTGGGCATGGCTCGTGGGGGCATCACGCATGGCGTTTGCAGACTTATGTAGCTTCTGTGACAGATTTTCTTTTGGGCCTCCAGAAGCACGTGCCGCATGCAGGATCTTAGCTCCATGCTGGTTGTGAAGCCCGATGGTGAATGTCTTTCTCAGTCAGATGCTGTTGTCTTTGCCGCTGCCTGAGCCAACATTCTGCAGAGTCAATGTGCCCCCTAGGCCTTGGATAGCTGAGTGCTCGGTGCAGGTAGGGCAACAGCTGGAAGGCAGCAGCGTGCTGCAAGGCTTGAGCAAGGTCTCCCTGGCTTTGGCAGAATGGGTCCAAGCGAATAGGTTTGTGTAGGCCAAACCGCCAGGCTGCGCAGGCACTAGTGCCCAAACCACTACGAGATGGGGCATACAACGTGGTTGCCAAGGACGACTTGCAATGATCACAGCACTTCTCTCGGTTCTTCAGTCTTCGAATTTCACTCCGCAGAACCGCTACCGTGTCCTCGGCCGGCGCAAGGAGCTGAGGCTGAAACAGGACGCCGACGCCACCTTATGTTCTCTTCTGCCGAGTGAGTAGTCGGCTAGCTTTGATGATGATCAGGACGGAATGGAGGACAGATTTGTCAACAGGGAGTCCAAACCTGCCATCGAGGGCGCCTGAGCATGTGAGAGCCCCGAAGTGAATTGCGAGCAGAGCTCATGAACAGGTCGTGCTAAGTGCGCACAGCGGCCTTTTCAGTACAGATGCATTTTCGCCGCTCCGCTGGGCTTCTGCAAAAGAAACTGTACAGGGCAGGGACGTCATGGCCACTGTTGGGCTGCCCCTGCAGCGAAGCGAAGGGAGCCTGCTGTACTCAGCACTTCTTGTGAGGCGGCGCAAGATGTTTGCAATTGATAGGCAGAACGCCTTGAAGCGCGGCCGCTCGGATCGACAAGTGACAAGTTTCTGAACACCAAACACATGATGCGAGCCTCACCCGGCAGAATCTACTCGCAACCCTGAAGCATTCCAACGACGAAGCAATCGGAAGCACCAGCACCTCTCCGCTACGCGAGTTCCCAGCGCATGAAGCACTGCGAACTTCCACCTTGGCAAAGTTTCAAAGGTAGCCATGGCTGCTAAAGGCTTGGCCCGGAACCCGAACACCAGCGCCAGCGTGCAAATTGGAGCTTTCAGGTTGCGTGGCATGGTAGAGCCGATACAGCAACATGGCGAGAGGAGCTTCGAAGCACAAAGGCCGACAGTCTGTTGCAGTCTGGACCTTTCCAGGAGCGCAAGCCCAGTCAAGGACAACCCGAGGGAACGTAGCCGCAGTCCAAAGCGGGACAGAGGCTACATCATGCTTGGCACCACTGAAGACCCGACCGTGTCGACTGTTGCCGGGCTCTGTCAAGACGTAGGCGCCGACGTTCCGCGACAGGTGCGAAAAACCACAGCACTGTTGCCGCTTCTCGAGTCGCACGGTGTGAGCAGGTCTCGGTTTCCGTCGCTGGGAACGGCCACTTGCTGGCAGAAGGAATGGCTTGCCATGCCTGTGTCAACTTGTCTCTGTGATCTGTGTAGTATGTAGACTAGTCCGAACAACTACACAGCAGATACGTTGTAGGCTGCGCAGCCGAAGCATGCCGAAGCTATATCCACCCGCGACATACGCTGCCATGTCTAAGGAGTTGCAAGCCGTTCGAGCCCGACTCTCTCACTGGAGCCCGTGCTTTGACTGCACTGCATCTAGCGCATCATGGTTGTGTTTTGGAGGGCTCAGAAGCTGAATGTTTGCAAGATCAGAGATGCGAACGCTCGTGGCAGAGACATGGTTCCGCTCAAGCCAGGTCTGCACGTGGAAAGCCATGCCCGAGAACCCTAAACCTCGTTTGCGACTTTGTAGTATTGCTGATGCTGCTACTACTGCTGCTACGACTAGCTAGTACTCCTGCTGCTACCACTACTAGTATGTTTCCTACTACTACTACTACTACTACTACTACTACTACGACTACTACTACTACTACTACTACTACTACTACTACTACTACTACTACTACTACTACTACTACTACTACTACTACTACTACTACTACTACTACTACTACTACTACTACTACTACTACTACTACTACTACTACTACGACTACTACTACTACTACTACTACTACTACTACTGCTACTACTGCTACTGCTACTACTACTACTACTACTACTACTACTACTACTACTACTGCTACTACTACTGCTACTACTACTACTACGACTACTACTACTACTACTACTACTACTACTACTACTACTACTACTACTACTACTACTACTACTACTACTACTACTACTACTACTACTACTACTACTACTACTACTACTACTACTACTACTACTACTACTACTACTACTACTACTACTACTACTACTACTACTACTACTACTACTACTACTACTACTACTACTACTACTACTACTACTACTACTACTACTACTACTACTACTACTACTACTACTACTACTACTACTACTACTACTACCCGTTTTGCGTGTATTTGACGCCATGCTTTTCCTGCTTTTGGGACATCTGCGACTTGGTTTCAGGGCCTAGATATACTGGTATTTACAGCATTTCCGTGGTTATTCGTTTTTATCTCTTTAAAGAAGGACCATGCAGACCCGAGCGCCAGAACGACCTAAAATACAGTCATCATCATCATCATACTCATCAACATCATCATACTCAGGGCCTAGATATACTGGTATTTACAGCATTTCCGTGGTTATTCGTTTTTATCTCTTTAAAGAAGGACCATGCAGACCCGAGCGCCAGAACGACCTAAAATACAGTCATCATCATCATCATACTCATCAACATCATCTTACTCATCAACATCATCATTGACCTGGGGGGGGGGGGTGGGGGGGGGGGCTAATCGCGAGCATGTTTGACATCATCATCATAACAGTAACATTCAAAACCGTCAAATTCATTGTCGCCATCAACATCATCATCACGGTGATAGACAATATCATCATACTCATCATCATCATAACACCAGCAACACTCAAAATCTTCATCATCATCATCATACTCATCAACATCATCATACTCAGGGCCTAGATATACTGGTATTTACAGCATTTCCGTGGTTATTCGTTTTTATCTCTTTAAAGAAGGACCATGCAGACCCGAGCGCCAGAACGACCTAAAATACAGTCATCATCATCATCATACTCATCAACATCATCTTACTCATCAACATCATCATTGACCTGGGGGGGGGGTGGGGGGGGGGGGGCTAATCGCGAGCATGTTTGACATCATCATCATAACAGTAACATTCAAAACCGTCAAATTCATTGTCGCCATCAACATCATCATCACGGTGATAGACAATATCATCATACTCATCCGATAAAACCCACGATCCAGGGCGCTCGGCTCACAACGACATGCGCATGCGGAAATGACGTCCCTGCCGTGTGTTTCGGACATGCATGCACCAAAAAACACAGCGTCAAATACACGCAAAGCGCGTACTACTACTACGACTACTACTACGACTACTACTACGACTAGTACTACTACTACTACTACTACTACTACTACTACTACTACTACTACTACTACTACCTCATCCCCCCCTGGTGCGACGCCGGTCGCTGAGTTCGTGGATGTACAACATGTTCCATCAGAGCTGTCGCGGTCCAAGATGCGGCGTAGCAAGGACAAGGATCGTCCACACCGCTGCAGTAAATGTCAGCAGGTGGGACATAGAAAAGACAGTTCGAAGTGTCCTTCCTACGATGGACCGACGACCGAGAAGCCGGAGAATGCTCATTTGGCCAAGTTTGCACCTGCTTACTTGGAGCAGATTGTGATGATGAACATAATAATGCTGGATGCTGCTGATGTGCGGTTCTTGCGCCTCTACTCGTTATTGAACTACTGAACCACAGAGTAAGCTGTTAAAGAGCAGTGGAAAGTACCATCCCCGCTCGGGAAGCAACATTTCGAAAGGTTTTGGACATGGATGCTCTCCAAACCAAAATGCGCTAGACCATGGACGTCATTAGGTTTTGGACATGGATGCTCTCCACACCAACGATTTGGATGAACATCATGATCAAAATGAGGCCCCCAAAACCTTGATCCTGATCGCTAGGTTTTGGGCACGAAAATCGAGACACCCAAAAACAGTAAAAAATCATGAAATTCGCAAAGACAAGTGCTGTAAATACCAGCATTTTCAGGTGCGAGATTGATGAACAATGTTAGAAGACATGATAAAAATACACACGAAACCAGGAACAGTTGCCACTTTCGATAACTGCGGAAAAAGTGCTGTAAAACACAGCATTTCCGACCACAGCAAGTCCCAAAAATAAGAGGTCTGGGCGTCGCACCGGGGGGGGATGCGTTACTACTACTACTACTACTACTACTACTACTACTACTACTACTACTACTACTACGACTACTACTACGACTGGCACAACATTATACTACAACTGTGGCTGCCAGTCCAGATGCTTCGACTTCAAACGGCCAGTCAGGCCGGATATTCTAGCGGCAATCCCCTGTCTGGCTGGAACGTTAACACAATGTTGATTGGTTCAGGGCGGTCACCTGAAGTAAACCCGACAGCATCGGCCAGCTACACCGTTTCACAAGAATCGCTCTAGGGGCTTATTCCGACCTGACTTCCAGATCTACTGCTTGATTTATCAATGACTTATTCATCAAAACCTGTGTTGTCACAACCTGGCGCAGCCCGAGCCGCAAGGCAAAGATAACGGAGCAGGTCCGCAAGGCCAGGGATGCATCAGGTCGTAGCTTGAAGTAACTTGGGTGGTGATCCGATGATCCTGGCATGAGCTGTCCGGGACAGCAGTCTATAGTAGGCTACCGAGCTGACGTATGCACATGCGCATGATAGGTCTTGGGCGAGGATTGCGGCTCCTTGCCGGTGCGCAGCCCAGCTGTCGTACGTCGCTCTGCAGACCATGAGCTTCCTCTGCCATGCCGAGGTGATAGTCGGCATTGTTTGTGCCCAACTGGCTTCAAAGCAAGCCTTGGATATGCAAGCCTTGAGCTCATGCCCCAGTCGACACGGGCAATGATTTGCAGCTTGCTAAGTCATTCCAAGTCGCGAAGAAGAGGCATCTCGTAGTACTGGCTCACAGCAAGCTTTGAACGTCCCCCGTCCCGAATTGCGCCATGCACAGCCAGACACGCAAATGTTTCGTCGGCGTTGACGTCGGCACAGGTAGCACTCGCGCAGGTGTTTTTGACTCGGAAGGCAAGCTGTTGGGGATGGGAACCTGTGGGATTTCCACTCGCCAGCCCTGTCCTGGCCATTTCGAGCAGAGCTCACAGGAGATCTGGGAGGCATGTTGCAGCTCTGTTCGTGAGGCCCTGTGTGAAGCGGAAGCTGCTGGATCAGATACGCTTCATGTTGTAGGAGTCTCCTTTGATGCAACCTGCTCCCTCGTCGTCGCGAACGCCGCTGTTGGAGCTGATTTACCAGACGATCCAGACAAGCCTCACCCTGTAAGGAATCTGACGTATGATATCATTCTGTGGTGCGACCATCGTGCCACACAGGAAGCACAGATGATCAATGACGCTGGGCACCAGCTCCTGCAGTTTGTCGGTGGTCAAGTGTCACCAGAGATGGAAATGCCAAAGCTGGCATGGCTGAAACGCTTCAAGCCGAAGACATTTGCCAGTGCCACGCGCTTCTACGACTTGGCGGACTATCTGCTTCACCGAGCTGCCGACTTCAGACGCACGCAGGGCAGCAGCGCAGGTGTGAGGAGTTTCTGCACCGTTGTTTGCAAGTGGAACTTCAACGCTGCAGGAAGGGGCTGGGATGCTGAATTCTTCCAGTCGGCTCAGTTGTCAGACTTACCCTTTTCGAAGATTGGCACAGCTGCAGACGTCCAGGACGTCGGCAGTGCCGTGTCAGGAGGGTTGGGAGAAAGGGCAGCACAGGAGCTCGGGCTGCCTGCAGGCACTGTCCTGGGCGTGGGGGCCATTGACGCTCACGCAGGCGGCATCGGCTGCCTCGGTGTTGGAGCGACGGTACCAGTCGAAGAAAGGCTGGCTCTCATCGCAGGGACATCTGCCTGTCACATGGCATCAAGCTCGCTGGCCATCAAAATTCCTGGCATTTGGGGCCCCTATGATTCTGCTATGATTCCGGGCCTTTTCCTGAACGAGGCGGGGCAGACTGCTGCAGGGGCAGCACTGGACTTCGTCATCGAATCGCATGCTGCCTTTCCGGAGCTGCAAGCTCAAGCGACCGCGGCTTCGTGCAGCACATATGAGATTTTGAACCGCAAGGTAAATAGCCTTGCGCAGCAGAAGGGACTTCAACATGCGTCGATCCTGTCACGAGGCTTGTTCGTCGGGCCTGACTTCAGCGGGAATCGATCGCCGCTAGCAGATCCCCACCTGAGAGGAAGCTTTCTTGGGCTCGGACCAGCCGGAGATGCAAAGCGAGCTACATCCCTCGAGGCGCTGTCAGTTCTATATTTGGCCACGATACAAGCCCTAGCCTATTCGTCACGCTCAATCATCGAAGAAATCAACTCAGCTCGAGGAAAAGCCGGAGTTGCGAGAATTTCTGCCATCCATGTTTGCGGTGGCCTTGCTCAGAATGCCCTCTACATGCAGGAACATGCCAACGTACTCAAGCTGCCGTTGTATTGCACGAAATGCCCCAATGCCGATGTGATTCGCGGAAGTGCCATGCTAGCTGCCACTGCTGCTGGTGAATTCGATTCCGTTGCGGAAGCCATGTCATCAATGCAACAGCCGGGGTTGAGTGTTCAGCCGCACCAAGATTCAAAGGTCCAACAATTTCACAGCGCTCGCTATCAGATCTTCATAAGAATGCAGCGTCACTTACAAGAGTATCAATCTCTCGAGGCTGCGGCTCTGGAGTAGTCGCAGGAAGACCCGCGAGGAGCCAAAGGGCTGCAGCGCTCGCAAACACCGATCAGCTGCCCTGCGTTTTCCGCGTCTGGGGAGACAGCAGGGTTCACTTCCCCATGGAAGATCGAGGTGGGAAAATCGAATTGGACAACTGGAGACTAGGATGGTCGCAAGTGGTGACCACAGATGCCATGCACACAGGCACCAGGCGCAAGCGAGTTCGTTTGCTCCGAAGATCTCCGAAGTATCTTGCCACATCAGACGGTGCACCGTCAAGATTGCAAGCACGTCGATACTTCGAGTTGCCGGGATGCCGACATGTTGGAGTAGTTGCGCGCCTTCACCCTCCCTGGCGAAAGGGGAAGGCATCCACCAGATTCCTGAGCCATCTGTGTGGAAAGTTGTGCTTTCTGCTTCGTGCGAACTTCCACATCACGAGCTGACGGGCTATCGCGAAAACCGAGACCACAAGCGGCTCGTACAAGTCTGTGAGACATCGTGAAGCCCGATAGCCTCGACTCCAATGCATAATTTTGAGAAGGGTCATCTTTAGGTTCAATGACAGCGCAGCAGTCCTTTTGGACTGTCCTTTCATTCTTGCAGTGTTGCCTGTGCAGAATTCTTCAGCTGGCCGGCTGGGCTGAGGTGAGCAAATTGTACCTCACCTACCATCGGAAAAGCAGAGCCAGCTAAAGGACTGGGCTTGCCAGGGGATGGTGGTGTCCGTCTCACATGCATTTTACGATGATGCCGTAATGATGCCCCTACTTCAACACCATCGGGCCAGGACTTGCTCTCCTGGCTGGAAGAGGCGACGCTCGTCTCTTTTCCCTCGCAGAGTTCGCGGCGACTTTTGCTTTGTTGCGCAGGTTTCAGAGGCAGCAAAGCTGGGAGCCAAGAGTGGGATCTTCCTGGATCGGATCGGATAGGCCCGTTAGGACCATCGAAGGGCGTGTGGCCCTGGCAGTTTGCTTCGATGGCTAGCCGGAGCCACTGACTGACTCGAGCCTTCTCGGGTCCCAGGTCTGACCAAGCTCCGAGCGACTTTCAGGAGCCGAGTTCAGTCGATCCTGGTGGCTTCTGGCAACAAGCACATCTAAAGCAGAAGTACATACAAGTGCCAATGCAAGTGCAGGAGGGCGATGCAGTCACTTTGCATGGCTTGGAAAAGAGGCATGTCAGCTCAGCTGTTGCAAGAAGGGCCGACTTGTGAGTCCCGGAGAGCTCACGGCGATTCAGGCCTGACCTCAACGGTTGCACCGCAGAGGTGCTCAGAGTTGCAGATCCCTCACAGCCGAGCCCCGAGCCGCACGGAAGACAGGATACTCTCTCGGTGAGAAATTCCGCCAGGCCTGGACGAATCGTGCTAAAGCTGGAGAGCGGAAGCCTTCGGCTGAGAGGAACTGGCGAAGCCTTCCTTGGTGTACCACAGGTGTTTGTTGCCTACCCAGGTCAGATTGCAATCAGGCCCCAGAACCTTCAGCGCGTGCAGCGTGAGGGCTCCGCGCCAGCAAGCGAGCAGCTATCCGACAGAGACGAGGCCGTCACCGAGTCACCGGCACTGGATGTGAGTCACTGAGTCCAGAGTGCGAACTTGAGGCTCCCACGCCGAAGAAGCCCCAGCCCGCGAACTCTGGGAGCTCCAGCTATTCAGGCCCAGGAGTGATCTCTGCGCTCTGCACTATTCCCTTTTATGTCCTTGCTGTGCCCTGTGGAGGCCCGGACCCGTCGGCCAGCAAAGTCTTCGGTTCGGCCTTCGAAAGACTGAAGGCGAAGGCTGAGGCTCCACTCCTCTGGCTACTTCCGAAAGAGGAAACAGAGCAAAAAGCAGCGCAAAGCACGAATCCTGCCGCTTTGCCGGAGGCCGAGGCTCGGGGAGAGCTGCCCGCGCAGGGAGCTCAGCACATGGGCTCCAGAGGACCAGGGCCCAAAGCGGGGCGTTGCCTTTGCCTCCAGGGATCGGCGCAAGAAAGCAAAGACCGACCTGGATACTCGCGGCGGAGCACGACTCCCGGCCTTGAGATTCGCACCCCCGCCGCCCACACGCATTCATAAGACGTCTGCCAGATTGGAAGCTCCCAACCAGCCGGCCAAGCCAGGCTTGCATCCACTTTGAGATCTGCCTAGTCTTTAGTGTCAGAGTCCTCATATGAAAGGCGCGAGCTCATCATGGGCACAGAGCCCAAAGAATCTCAAACCGAGGCCTTGGACGGAGACTCTGACAAAACGGTTATAACGTGATGTCAACCGTTGCTAGGTAGGCTTGTGACTGCTAGGTTGCAGAGGAGCCTCCAAAACGCGAGCCCATCAATTTCGTCCCGGCCGAGGTGGGAAATAAATTGAACCACAGCCACTCAAGCATGTGCTCAGACGGTCGCATCAAAGCTGGCTGCGAGTCCATCACATTTAGCTTTGCCGGCGAGTACTCGAGATACGCATTACGACTGGCAGTCGCAGACAGGAGAAGACCATAATGCCCAGCCGCAAGGTAGCTCGAACCTTAGCACTGGTTGGCACAAAGGAGCGATGGATGGAGGTTTGAAAGTAAGAGGTGTCTGATGTGCTGAGACTGTAATCGATCCTCGCCGAAATCAGCGGCCCGTCGAGGATTCGGATGACGAGGCCAGGAGGACTTCGAGGTATGCCTCCCCTGTTTGAAGTTGCCAGGAAGTGGGAACTCCTGGGGTTGTCCGACCTCGCAAATCGGTTCAGGACCCGGCCGAAACAAGAAAGCACGCAATCTCTCACATTGCTTCGCAACCTATCTCCCGCTTCGCTCTTCAAGTGAAGGACAATGGGTCGTCCTGGCAAGGAGGCATGGTTTCGTTGCATTGGGTGCTCTTCGACTGGCCTTGAACTGTTCTTGAGTCTGGATTGAGACCGCAAGGATCCACATCCTTCGACTCGCCGAAGCTGAAGGCGGGTGTGGGAATTGGGTTTTTCTGATATTTCGAGGGCAAAAGTTGATCCGCAGGCATCCAAGGACCCTGAGCCGGTCTGTAGGATGTGGCAGGCCAAGATTTTCAGGTGCGAGTCGGAGCTGAAAGCTCTTTGAGACTCTTCCGAGGCCTGCTGCCCCTGCAAGGGGTCTGGCGCGAACTCCATCTGCCTGAAGCTGAGAGCATGCCTATCAATAACCCACTGCTCCTCACTTGTGCGTGTAAGTGTAGGTGCCACACTCTCCGACTCCGACCACTTCCAAGCTGTTGCCTCAAGAGTTGCAGTAATGGCGCTGTGTTGGCCTCACGGCAAAGCTCATAGTTGATGTTCTTGTCTGCGGTCACAGCGGCATGACTCAGTCAAGTTCCTGACATCCGCGGGGGCTTGGTTTGGGCAGCGACGCAAGGTTTTCAAGCTTTTGCATAGTCGTTCCCATCTTGCAACAAAGCGCCGGAAGCAGTTTCTAAAGAGGGCGGCTCCGTGCCCGCAAAGAATTTCAGCATGCCCTGACATCCAATTGATTTGCCTCGGTGGGCTTGCGCGGCTTGGGGCAGCGACAGCAGAGCCGAATTCCTGTCGACTTGGGACCGAAACCCCAAGCCTCAGTGACTGAGGGAGTGACAGCGCGAGTTGGTAAGTGAGACCACGCAAGTGAACGATCGGAATGATCCCCGAGAAGTATCCTGTTGCCATGTCCACTGTAACTTGTAGCTAGCATATATGTACTATTACTAGATTGTACGAGTACGCCTTGTGCTTGCGGCGTGAGTTCTCGTGGCTACATGCGGAGTTTACACTTGTTCGGTTCTGCAGCTCGGACGGTTCGCCCGAAGAAGTAACTGGCAAAGCGTTTGTTCGCAGATGTTTGCCCATTCACTTAGGTCGTATTCCACTCCTCCAGCAAGCGCGCGAGGGAACATGACGCTGCAGCCTCTGGACCAGCTGTGTGTAGGCGGTTATGTGCCACTGATGTTTTTGTTACGCGCTGCGACACCAGGCTGGTGGTTTCTGCAGATGCGAGAGAAGCTGACAAGGCCGATATTCACGGCCTGTTCGGCTACAGGCACAGTAGATAAGCCGTCGACAGGAACGTGTTCGTCCAAGTTGAATCATGCTCTCTCCGGCGGAGGCTCAGCGAGAGCTCGCAGAAAAGCGCAAGGCCATGGAAGAAGGAAAGAGGCCATGGCTGGAGTTACAGTACAAATGTTGGGAGTGTGCTACTTGGATCTCAAGTATATACACCGGTTCGGCTCCAACTATGGACAGGGGAACGGCGGGTGGCGAGCAAAGATTCAGATGCGTAATCAGGACACAAGAGAAGGGACGTGAGGAGTTGAATCTCCTCAGCACCTCTAAGCCTCTACATAGCTTTTCGGGCATGTTCTTCGCAAGGATTCTCATTTGAGCCATGGCTACGTTGGGCTTCGGCCCTACGGAAGCCCTGGCCGCCTCAGGGGCACCCAGCCGCTGGCTGCGCGCCCGGCAAAAGATAAGTTTGGCAAAGGCGCGCCCTGTGCTGGCAACTCGCCGCCGGCGCAACCATCTAGTAGCATCCCGTGCCCTGCCTGCAGGATTTCTACAAGACACCAGCAGAGGAGCGGCAGCTTGAAAGCCTGCATGCAGACACCAGGCTGCAACTGCATGCCAGAAGCTGTTGCTGCCGGCATTGACCATGACATAAAGCCAAGGTGCTTTGCAGCAAAGGGGAAGTCGATGACCGAGTCAAGGCGGCAGAATCTTTGGCATCTCTGGCTCGCGGCGAGCGCATGGCTGGGGCCTCGGAAACAGTGGACTTTCACTGTGTTCGCCTGGCTGGGGAGTCAAAGTTCGCCTGACAGCAATGTTTGTCGAGTCCAAGTTGGACTCTGTACTGGAAGCTTGAACGCATCGCTTCAGGCCTATGCCATTTGCGAGAACCTGGGCCCTTTGTTGCAATGATGCTCGGCTTAGGATGCACTCGGTATCAGTGAAAGACTTTGAGAAAGGACCTATTTCCAAGCTACTGGTCGCAAGCAGCAGCGCCCACGATAAGGCATCCAGTGGTCACGGTGCAATCTTTGTGCCCACTCCTGTCGTCGTGACAATCACACCAAGATGGATGGAAAGTTTGCAAGCGCAACCACAAGTAGAAGCCCCGGAGTTGAGTCACATTGAGCAGACATGTCAAAACCGCAAGACCCAATCAGGATTGGCACGCCTTGAGCCCAAATACAAGGGTCACCTGCTGTCATGGACAATTTTGGGGGAGGATTGAGTCGAGCACAGGCCTCCACAGCAACGGCATGCAGCCAGAATCATGGGATCAACAATAAAGGCACAGGGCAGGCATGGTTTGTCTGCGGCTTCCCCCATGCTAGGATTTGCTAAGCCAGATTGAGAAGAGGCTCTCGTCCGCCCCATCCAAATCCACTGACGGTCTTGTTTCTGGTACTAAGGCTTGAAGACGAAAGAAGCTCCTCAGCTAAAGCTGGCGGTCCTTGGCACCCTCCGAGTACTGGCCGAGCGACAGCAAGCGGCGGCCGTGGCGCGGCATTGCTACGCCCTTCTGCCATGCCTGAGGGACGAGGACATCTTGGTCCAGCGGAAAGTTTCATCTCTGTACCGCGTATTGGCAGATGAGGGCCAAGCTGGTGTGGTTGCCAGAGATGTGGCCAGCATCATGCACTGCTTTGAGGCCACACAGGCCGTTAATGCCTCACTGATGGCACCGCTGGATGCACTGGCAGCCATCGCTTCAGCCGGTGAAGCGCAGGCTGTTGCCCGAGTGGTGGAACGCTTATTGGCTGCCCTTCGTGATACTCGTCCAAAGATCCGCGCGACCACATGCAAGACGTTGGCGGCTATTGCTCGAGGTGGTGCGAAGGATCTACTTGGACATCTGGGTCTTATTGACACCGAGATTGCAGAATCGAGCATATCGGGCGTGTCATGGCATTGATTGCGGAGACAGCATTCCACTACAGTCTGTGATCGTAGTGGTATATGTCAATGCCGAAGATACTGACCGGTGGGCCTGTTGTAGTTTGATATACAGCCAGAACCAACCTCCTCAGGGCGAGCGTAGCGCGACAGGATATTCATGTGAAGGAAGCGAGCACAGCACAAAAGCCTTCAATTACGGCAGCAGAGAAAACAAAGCAGTGCACGGGAAAGGTCAAGGTCCCCCAAACCACGGCCACACGAAGCCAATCATGAAGGCAGGCAAGCCACTGTAGCATCGTCTTCTCACGTCTTCCGCCCGTGACAACTCACAAGATGTGACGACATCTCCATGAGCTACCATCGGCTCCAAATTTCCAGGCCGTCCATCGAAGGTCAGAGTGCACACAGGAATTCTATTGAGTTTCTGAGATGTGTTGGTGATGCTGGGCAATTGACAGTACCACCAACGTGGATGAAAGGCAGAACACTGTGGTTGGACTGCGGTGCTTCAGGATGTAAGCACGAAAAGCCTATAATTTTGGGCCGGTGAAGAACTGGAAGGGATCTAGCAGCTTTGTTGGCGAGAGGCTTCGGCCATTGTGAAGGAATTCGCTTATTCACAACTTCGGCCCTTTTGCCAGGTGACGCTCTTCGAGATGCTGGCGCTGCTCTCCTTGGACGACGCCGATGCTGACGTCCGCTTGGCAGCTGCCGATGCACTGCGGTGCCTGCCTGAAGCCGAGCCCTGCGAGGAGACTGCGCACGAGAGGCTCCTCAACTTCTTGGCCTCTATCATGTTTCATCATCCAATCGACAACTTCGTGTAGTGTCTAGCAGTCAAGGCTCCCTGTGAACTGAAGCTCGAGCTAACGAGATCTTGAAAGATCAAGCAAAGGGTGTGGAGCTGTCGCAGAGCACTTGCACGGTGCTAGTGTCGCGTCGTCGTCTATAGTGCTGCTTGCGACTGCTGTCAAAATCAGTAGAGCCACCTTTGTCGCGTGTTTTACAGAAAGATGCAGAGAATCAGTGGCACTACGCACGGTCACCAGAGTATCTTTGCAGCCGCAAGGATCGTCCTCGCTTTCGTTGAGATTTGGGTTGGAATGCGGTGCACTCTGGCAAGAGACTCGACACGGCTAAGGCGCAATCGCTACCCCGCGTTGGTCAACCGGCTGCAGAGGCTTGTGCTTTAGATGTTAAACCACGCAGGGCAGATATTCGGGGATGAGAAAGGTCGATGAGGAGGAAGTGCACCTTCTGCCAGACACACTTGCTTGTTAAGTGTTGACCAATCGTGAGCACAGCAGCAGTTGCTGCAGCATTAAGGTCGACACCGTGCCATCAAGAAAAAGTCACGACGAGATTGAGCTGCGAAAAGGTTCAGTCATGACATACATGAAAATTGCAGAAGTGCTCAATGTCTGTACTGAAACAGACAGCTACTAGTAGAGGCTAGAGGCGATCCAAACACGCATACAAAAAGATATGCTTTGGTGCATTCGGGGTTCAGTCTCAGCTTGACGTTGCATCCAATGCAACAGGTGGGCGGGGACTCAGACTGGAGAAGTGCAGAGCATCCTCTTGTCGGTTTTCTACCTTTCGAATGAAATGGAGGCATTTGGCTTGTGCAAAAAGACGTGATGGTGTTATGTAGATCAGCTCATGTCCGTTTTATTTGGACCCTGACAGGCATGCGTAATCTGTCAGGAACCACTTCACTTGGCCGGCGGCCCCCAGGCCTTGCCGTGCGGGCATGTCTTTCACCGCCGGTGTGTGGCGCCCGGGCAGCACTGGCACACGTTGAATCACAGCTGGTGGTAGACCGAAGCATCCAGAAAAACTGAGAAGTAGTTTTTTGCTTCAGGAAGATTGGTACAACTTCACGACGAAGTGCGGCCGAATACCGAACTGTCCTTTGTGTCGAACAAAGATGCCCCTGATCGCATTGCGTGACCCGCCGCAAATTCCTTCCGTTCTCAGATGATATCGATGCTTGATTCTCGCAACATCGTAGTGGTAGGTTCGCATCTCTTGAAGAGATGCCTCATCAAGCGTAGCTTTAGGAGTTTTTGGAGCTGGCTCTGCAGAGCAGACTCATGCTCTCTGTATGGTACCCGCATGCACATGCGAACACCGACATTCCAACCACTTCCCCTTATGATATGTCCTGGCACGTTGATGGCCCTCTTGTGAGGGAAGTCAGGCAGCCTAGCAGAAGATCAGCTGTGCCAGCACGAGTTGACCACCAGCATGTACAGCTGCTGCGTGGAGCAGAAATCCAGGGCCAGCGGACCTGGGCCCGCTGTGCTTTTGCTCTGAGGGCTTTTTGCACATTATTACCGCGAGGCATATGCTGGCGAAGCTTACGAAGCAGATGCAGTTGTGCCTGGCCAAGCTACAGTGCCTTGTCTTGACTTTTCGCATTCACTGGGACAACTGCTGCAAACTATGTACCCTGGCATTTTCCTAGCATCCTTGCAGAACATCGAAAGACAAGATAGCAGTTTGTTTTTGCAGAGTGCTGGACAAGGAATCCAGACTTGGACGACAACGCGAAGGAGAGCGTACCAGCATCAACAGAAATAGTAACTAAGTAATTAGCAGTGTTGGGCGGTAGTGTTTGTAATTTGAAGCGGCTGGCGAGACAGCACCGGTCACTCGCCAGGAGAAGTACCAAGACATGATCACCTCGCTGAAAACAAACATGTCCAAATTAGGAAATGTGTAGCTCCCTGACAGAGTTTGCCCCGAAAGACGGCCTTCGTCTGATTGGTCTCACAAACATAAAATTTGAAAGATGTCTAGTTCCCGAGCCTCTAATGATTGTTGCATCGATGTTATAGAGGGAGGAACCGGACGAAGGCAGGGGGTCAGCTCAAAGGGGCTTAAGCCTGCAAGGTCCGCGGTGAATGGTTTCGGTAAGATCAGGGTGTTTGCACCGCTATGGTTTTGTGGCTGAAGCTGGTTCGAACTGCGTTTGCATAGCAGTCTTAACAGATGCTTGTGCTCCGCCACAACACTGAAGCACAATGTACAAATCTGTACAAACCCCTCTCTCATACAGCAGCTGAGAGTTTCAACGCACATCGTTATGAAAACTGATGGATTGGGCTGCGCGTTGTTCAGCAACATGTCGCTGCGCGCCGGAATGTACCACCGGAGCTGGAAGACGTCTATCTCAAGCATGTTGCTTTCGTAGTCCCGCAAAGAGACGCAGCAAAAGCCATGGCAGAGGCTGGAAGAAGAAGATGGCATTGACCTGAATGTGTAGGGCCAGGGTTGTTTTGCCAGAAGTGCCAGGTCTCAGAGCCCCTCAGGACTCAATCGCCTGGAACCTACTGTAAGTATTCGGGATCTTGTTGGAGGTGTGTAGTATCCTCGGGGTATTGTAAAGGGAGCATGTAGAGATGGGAGGTGTCAGACCGATGATGTTGCCCTGGTCTCGCACTACCCGGCCAATCTGCTGTTCGCTCAGGCACCACGTATTCTGCAAGATTTAATCGTGCAGAGTAGCGGGTCGCAAGCACTCTGAATCCCAAACCCTGACGGGAGTGGAGGGTGGCATAACCCTAGACCTTGCTTGATTTCCCTGACAAGCCTTGCACAGGAATTCCCTCTTATGTGCGTAGCTTGCTCCGGGGCGCGTTCGTATTGTGCTGCTTCACCTTCAAGCTTGTTTGTGCTTCAGTCGCCGTGAAGTGCGTTCTTATGGTAGACATGTCCTTGCAGAGTTTCGATGTTGAACATGTGCTGTAATTACTGTAATTCAGTATCCTGAGACGGCTGGCAGGGTATGCTGAATACCACGTTGCTACAGCTGCAGCAGCCGCCTGCTCAACTTGGCCCTCCTCGTGTGCGGCGTCCACAGTCGCAGCACAAGTCGCTTCTTTCGCTTCCGAGGGTAGAGCGGCAGATATCTCGCCTGCGAGAGTATGTCCTGGAGCACAGGCAAGCCGTTGCGAGATTTGCAGAGACAAAGCACAACACACCGAACCCGAAAGGCGACTGGAGGCTTGTGACAATGAAGTCCAGCGCGGACGATTCGGCATTACTAGCGAGGCTGAGGCCAAGCAGAGGGCATCCGCAGGTGATACTGTGTGCTGCGTTGTGTTTTGCAGAGCTTTGCACAGCGCCCCATGCCTCCATGCAGGCAGTCGTGGCCGTGCCCTGACGGCATCGGATCATCGAGCATCGTAGAGTCATCATGCCCGGTGCTTGCATCAAAACCGCCAGCCGGGAGGCAGCCAGTGCTTTCACGGCATACGCCGAGGCCCGGCTTTCAGCCAGTGCTCCGTTGAGCACAAATCTTGCGTGTGCGATTGATGCGCGTGCGACTTGAGCATCAAATCCCAGTCAACAACAAACATCCGAGCACTTGTCTGACTTGTCTAAGTTATTAGGGTTTGTGCTGTTCGAGGTTTAGGCTCCGTTATGCTTTGGCGCAATTCAGGCCTTTAGAGTTGGGGCTTAGAGCTTGCGGGTGCGGGAATCGGGGTTTGTGAATTTTAGGGTTTAGGATGTCCAGGGTCTCGCGATTTAAGGTTAACGCTGTTGAGCGTTCAGGGTTAAGGTTTAGGTTACAGGGCTTGTTGTGTTTGTTGAGTTGAGGATGGTTCGGTGAATTTTTGCTGACCGTAGGGGTTAAGGTCTTGGGGCTGGGGCTTCTAGGACTTTGTCACAGAGTTGATAAGGGTCCCCTGTGGACGGGACCCCTGTGGGTTGCATTTGCCCAATGGGGCCCAATGGGGCCTAATGGGGGCAAATGATGGCAAATGGGAAAGCCATTGGGCCCCATTAGGCCCCATTTGGCCCCATTGGGCCCCAGTGGACAAATGCAACCCACAGGGGTCCGTCCACAGGGACCCTTATCAACCCTGTGACTTTGGATATACGGCTCCGGGATTTTTGGCTCGGGCTCGTTCTTCACATCAGGGTCCAGCGCGAATCCGATGCTGCCTCCGTGCACGAATCTGCTGGCGCGCGACTCCGCCGCTCGGTGTTTGTACGGTCAGGGCTAGGCGTTTCCGCAAAGCCAGATATGCTGATATGCCAGATAGAGAGAGAGGGAGACAGCAGGCAGCACAACCGCAAGACCGTGCAGCAGCAGGCCGGGTTGCAACAGGGTATAATCACATTTGGGCTCGATGCTGTCGTAGCCACGTTCTACAGCAGAAGATGCCACATTGAGACTTCAACTTAGAGCTGACGTCCAGCTGGTGCTTTGCAGCATATAGCATCCGACGCAACACGAGTTTCAAGCCCAATTCCGCTAATTTCAGGCCATCCTCACGTAACTATTCTGACGGCCTTAGGTAACCCTTCGTTCGAGCGGCCTGTAGTGTCCCTCAACACTTTGGACATTTCGGATTCTATAAAGCCATCTCACTTCCTTTACCTGCAGGGCAGCCTGCAGAAGCTGCGCCGGAAGCAGGGCAAGACGCGGCTGCAGTACCCTGGCAGCACGTTTTCGCACGCTTCCTTCTGCCCAATTCCGAATGCTGCCCTTTCTCGCAAGCTGCAGGCACAAAGGCCACTCCACCGACGGAGGCTCTCACTGCTCTTCAAGGCCACAAGAGCCGCCCCATCGCCGACGAGCTATGCTGAAGTCCGAGACAGGTTGGTATGGTCATGATTCTGCTGGAGGTTAGGACGGGATGGTACTTCTTGTATATTCTGCTTGCTACTTGGCTGTGAGCCTAAGCGCATAATTGCCGCATAATGCTTTGCAGTTCGGGAGCTGTATGTTGATGTCGTGGAATCGATACCTGAGGCACTGGTCTACCTAGGCCAGAGATGACATGTGTGGGGCATGCATGAGCAAAAGCCGACGTAGATTCAGATCTTCGGCAGGTGGAATGTTCGACTCGTGGATAGAGTGGTTCCAGAACTTAGCAAATGCACAAGCATGGCGCTTAGAGTTCAGCAAGGGCCGACGGTGCCAGCCTTTCTTGCGCTTGAGCTGAGAGGTCACACTCGAGCACCAGCTGAATGCTCTGCGCAGGGAGCAGCAGGCGCTGTCGAGACTCGCGGCAGAGCAGAGATGCCACCGGCAAGTCGCGAGGCCAACGAAGCCGCAGCCGGCGTACCTGCAGAAGCTGCCGGCGAGTCGTCCGAAGGCAGCACTTCGTTGGAGCGGCTTGTTTGTGAAGCCTGCGGCATTGGCATAGCCTCGGCTAAGGCAGGCAAGCACACACTCCCGAGCCGGACTCGAGCAATGCGGGACACAGGCAGCCCTTCGTGTAAGAAGGGAGCTTCGGGCAATCCATGGCGCTGCGAGGCAAGCAGAAGAAGGAGAAGCTCCACGGCCCGACGATGCCAACAGCGCACCGGATGTTCATCCCCTGGCCTCGGCCGTCAAATCCCACCCCAAAGCCCAAAGCTGAGGCACCAGCAGATGCACCTGCAGCACCTGCAGCACCTGCAGCACCGCCGCCGTCACTTGCCCGGACACGAAAGAGTCTTTGAGGCAAAGTGTCACCTTCGTTAGCCAAAACAAGTATAAGGCCTTATTGGCAGAGATTTATCTACCAACTCTTCGCCACAGACCCAGCTTGAGCTTTGTCTTTGTCGTCTTGTGTTTGATTCCCCAAGCATTCCCGTATCGCAGGTTATGTTCTTTCTCACCCTGCTTCCCTGGTGGAACCCAAACCCACGGCAAGCGTCCTAGCAAAGTGACGGAGAGGCGGGGAGGTGGTCCCAGTGCATCGCAGTGCTTGAGCCACGCGGCTGAGGTTCCTGTGAGGACACCAGTTTCACCGGCATGGCGACAAAAGCAAAGGCAGACATCGGCTCCTCCTGTACTGAGCAGCGGCTGCATCAAGTGCCTGTTTTAACGCTTGATTTCCAAATTTCGGATGTGCGTCCGAGCAGCTAACTGGCTCGAGCTGCAAAGCAGTTGTTGAGTCACTTGTTGTTGCATTATCGATAATAGCTGAACAGCAACTGCAGTCGTGGGGATGAAGCACATAGCTAAGAGCTTTACAATCCGTCGTATCATCATCAACCGAAGGGGATCAGTTCATTCAACGGTTTGTGGACTGTGCTGTGTCCATAGATGACAGTTCTTGTTGCCAGCTCGGGAGAGCGCAAACGGTCAGCATCGCAGGCTTCAGCTACTCAAACTTTGATTTGTTCTGTTCTTTTCGCGAGAGAGAGTGTGTGTGTGTGTGTGTGTGTGTGTGTGTGTGTGTGTGTGTGTGTGTGTGTGTGTGTGTGTGTGTGTGTGTGTGTGTGTGTGTGTGTGTGTGTGTGTGTGTGTGTGTGTGTGTGTGTGTGTGTGTGTGTGTGTGTGTGTGTGTGTGTGTGTGTGTGTGTGTGTGTGTGTGTGTGTGTGTGTGTGTGTGTGTGTGTGTGTGTGTGTGTGTGTGTGTGTGTGTGTGTGTGTGTGTGTGTGTGTGTGTGTGTGTGTGTGTGTGTGTGTGTGTGTGTGTGTGTGTGTGTGTGTGTGTGTGTGTGTATCTGTGTGTGTGTGTATCTCTGTGTATGTATGTGTGCGCGTGCATGTGTATGCGCTCCTCATATTGTTGGGGCTTTCGTATGAGTGCATACACTGGAGGCATCTGCCCGCGGCCGAAATGAAAGCGCTGCTCTTCCAAACCTGCTTCGCCTGCGGCCACGCAGCTCCGCCGCTGGCAGCCACAGGGTGGCCACGTGTCACTTGAAGTGGCGGAGGTTGGCGGATGATCCTTTTGCAGGCACAGATTCTGCAAGCACTTCACGGGCCTCCTGGTCCAGAGCGACCGCCGAGAGACTCAGATGCGACAACACCGCTCGCTCGCGCCGCGGCCTCGTCACGCCATGGCCATGTCGGCAGGCTTGGAGCCCCTGCAGCAGAGCGACCCGGGCTTCATTCCGAAGCTCTGAAAAAGACTCCCGCTCCCCCTCCTCAAGTTGCGGGCTTGCCGGCTGCAGGAGTCTCAGGTGAGGCAAAGATGCCGAAACGCTGCGGGCGCTGTGTGTGCTGAGGTGCTGTTCCTCGACGTCGATGGGGCCCGGATCTCTGCAAACTTACAGCATCGCAGCAGGAGCCTTCACGAAGCGTCCCGTGCCAGGTGCTTCACCCTGTCCAGGCTTCTGCAAGTCTGTGTCGGCTTTTGTCCAGAAGAGGTCGCTACTTTAAGCTGCAGCAGCTTGCAGGCACGCCATCCGCGACAGCAGTTCGTCAACGGCTGCCTAGCAGAAGTCTCAGTCTTTGTTCATTCCCCGGTCTCGCCAAGTCTAAGTGCTCGGGAGGCTCTTGTGGCTGACGTCGTCAAGGCAACTGGAGCAGCGATTTGTTTGTCCACTGCCTGGAGATTGGTGCGCCCCCCGTCTTGGGAACGGGGGCAAAGCAAAGAGTGTACAGCAGAAGTTCTGCTCTACCATTCGGGAGGATCCTCAAGCTCGCAAGTTCGTCGAGGAGCCCTGTCAATTTCTGTTCTTCCGATTGCCGACTGAGCAAGAGTTGCCGCGGAAGTAGAGCTTGAGTGCCCATGATATGTTGGCTGAGCGAGGGCAAGTTGCATGACTTTGGGCCCAACGCTTGGCATTTCTGCCAGCATGGTGCTCGGCTCTATCACGACGTGTCAGTTGCGCTTGAGGCTGGGGCCCCCAGTCGGGCGCACTCCGAACCTAGCGCAGTTCCATCGCAGTCGAGAAATCCTCGCCTGGGACGAGGACTCAGCTCGCTCAGCAAGTTCCATACATTTCATTCATCACTTGCTCGTTGTGACTGCCGACGACCAACACGACCAACGCTGCACCATGTCAATGGGGCCTCAAGGCTTCTTGTACATCCTTTTCCTGCATGCACCATGAAGCGAATCCACATTTGAGGTCCAAAAGTTCAAGCCAGCCACCTGGGTTGCTTTGGACGACTGGCCACTCATCGAGGACAGTGTGAAGCGTGTGAAGCTGCAACGCTGAAGACGACACTGACCTCAAAAAGTTAACATGTTATTACTCGCAATCTGCACAATTCTGGGAGAAGCCTCGGGGCAAAGCCGTTGCAGAAATATGCACAGCAGGAGGAGCCCAAGATGCAGGGGCACTTCGTCCAGTCCCGGCCACGCTATGGGCTACAGCCATGGCCCTGGCATTGTTCACAAGCGAGACATCCATCAGCCAACGTGATCGAAGGCCCGATACTGCTCAAAAAGTAGTTGAACTGTTCAAGTTGCAACAGCCCCAGGCTCAGCTTCTTGCATCTTCTTGCAATTGCCAATTGGCGACGTCTCAAACAGATGGCACTCTGCCAGACAATCAAGGCAACATATCAAATGCCAGCCGCCGGCAAGAGGCTGACGGCTAAAAGCTGCTCTAGTTCCCCGTCTTTTCCAGCGATGGGCTTGTGATACGACATGAGAACATGTGCATGTTCCATCAGTATTACTGAACGATATGAGGAAAAGATGTGCGACCCTTGGCTGCCCGGGTAGCCAGTTCTGTTTCACACTGCCTTGCATCAGTTTTATAGGCGCTGTTGCTGCCACGGCAACGAGTTGAGTTGACACTAGATTCGGAGAAGGCACGGAGCTTGGCTCGTGTCCTGTCTGCACCTGCGAATCCCTCACGAGTGGGATTGTTCGGCCTTTGGCCACATCGAGTTTGCTTGGTTTAGTAGCAGGTACATACCATTTATCAGGTACTGCGCTTGCAGCCAGTTGATAGAATAGCTGGCCACAAAATCAGAAGAGCTCATGCACCATTGTGCCTCCGAATTGCGTTCGAATGCCTATCAGCACCGCGACTTTGAACCCTAAACCGAGCTAGACTGCAAGGAACCGTCCATCCCATCTTTGGGGCTGCGGGGTGTGATGCAACCTTGTGTCCGTTTGCTATGGCTCTTCAGCATCACAGCTTGAGTCGAGGTGGCTACAGTAGGCCCTTGTTCACACATGGCTGCAGTGGCTGGGGGGACTGCCGACGACGACACTGCCACAGCGACCTGGCTTAGCGCATCAGGGTCCCGTGACCCGAGCTAGATGGACAATATTGGCCAAAACACGTTCGTGATCAAATTCTATGATTACTATTTCATAGATCATAGAAAAAATTCGTACATCGGATTCATACGATTTATAATCAGGCTATATTTAAGATGCTAAAGATATATAGATGATATTTAATGTAATTGTCTTAGCTTGCTTTCTGATAATCATAAAATACGAAGGACAGAAAGATATGTTTTAATATGATGTTTCGATATATAAGACTTCGATTACGAATGAGCGATAGGTAAATGAATAATATTTAATATGAATATCTAGATTTATTTTTTTTTTTCCTATAGATACGAAATCTATTTATTATTTTATGA